AGAAGGAAAAAGTTACTCGCGACTCCTATGCAAATTCTGTTAATTACTCGATCAACATCCTACCTTTAAGTATCACGAATGAAATGCATTATTTATTGTTCGTGTTACAGTTGCGAACAAAAGAGATTTCACCGTATGCGAAAACGTTGACGTATATTTCTTGTATTAATTAGGAATTTCCCACTTACGAACTCTCGAAATTATTGCCCCATGCTTTTCTATTGTATCTCCTGTTTCGTTCAAAATTTCAAACAAGCCTCCCCGCGCGTTCTCTTAAATGATAAATCACGATTATATTCGACATACTGCATAATGACCAAGTATTCAAACTAATTGAACTGACTGAAAATTTGAATTTCGTTTCGAGAAGCCTTACTCGGCTTCGAACGGTGGAGAAAAATTAACGACGAAACACGTTGCACAATTAAAATCGGTTCGAAGAATTACCGATCAAAGTGAAATTATCGTGCAGATTATAAGGAGAGGTGGAGAGGTCGTTCGATGAAAACGGAGAAGTTTAACGTGTAATTAGCGGCGGGTTAACGAGCTCGTAATTTATCGACAGACAACGGGAGCCGTTCACCTTGCAAGAAAAGGGCCGTCGATTCTTGCGAGGATGATCAAATTGCTAGGCACAAAGTGCATCGATTACGCCCTCTGGGCTTTCAGGGCCCCGCGAATCGTTTCGTAGTACGCGAGACGAGCAAAGCAACGATCGATCGGCCACATCACAGAGCGATCTCGATCTCGATCGCCTGATCGATGGATAGGGGAACGACGAGAGGCGAGAAGGTTCTACGAGGTCAGTAATTGAAGACCGCGCCGGAATTACACGGCTTCGTTAATTAATCATCTCCACCAATGAAATCCGTATTCCCGGTCTTGTTCCCGAAATTTTCTAGCGCAGGATCTACAGGCGAGGAAGAAACAAGTTGACTTAGTTTTCAACCTGGTTGCAAAAATGAAAGCCATCACACTTTGAAACGTGAAGCTTCTGCTTTGACGGGCTCTCGCCAGAAGATGATTTCAAACGAATTTCGTCTAGCGAGTGGAAAAGTGAAATTAGTAGAAGTTGGAACGTATGTTGAAAAAAATTTTTTTGTAACTGGATTTATCGTCATTCTGAAGATTGAATTTTTCCCTTGAAACTCGCTCTATTTACGATTTTTTCCTTTTTCTTTTTTTCGTCGAACTTTCAACATTAATGTTAGACGAGGCAGTTTCAAGATTTCTTTCACGTTTAATTCTGTCGTTCAACGAAGAAAAATCGCTCGACAAGATTCGATAGGTGATTGTAAAAAGAAGATTTCAATGTTCAAGCCTATGGTAAATTTGGTAACGATAAAAATAATTTCAAACGCTTTCACACGCGTTTGGATCCTTACATTACGTCTATCTACCACGTGTGGTGTAACATTATCCACGAAAAAGATGAACTCATCATCAAACTAGTGGCTTCACGCAAAATTCTGTCGGTTTAAATTATTGTCATTAGCAGAATTATCCTCTTCGCTGTTGAAGTTGGCATTATCGAAGAATATCAATTAAAAATTACGTACGTTATACAACAAAGTACTTCCAGCTTTATTTCACTGTTCAGTTAATACACTGGAATTTAGGAATATAAGTTAGGGTTAGGATTTTCACGTATTTTAGGGTTAGGACACGTACGCGTTTCACTCCGTTAGTTTGTGAAAGAATGATCCCGTAGTATCTTGCCAAACTTCAGTGAAACGCGAGACATCAAGGACACGTTTCAGAGAAAGAGAAAAAAACACGACTGGAAACTCAATGGTGGAAACGTTCAAGACAGTTTGCCGGAAGTTCCTCGCTCGTGAAATTTAATTGATTCCAGAACTCTGAAATTGGGTGACGAAATTTCTGCTTGAAACTCCGCCGGTGTAACGGAAAGCGGATTGGCGATGTCGTTTGATGAGATCCATCGGGGAATTTCGACGAGGCGGAGGTGAGGATTTCGTGAAACTCGTGGCGAAAAACGGTCACGTTTGCCGCGCGACTTCGAAACTCCGCCGAGAAAGTTTCCTGCGGTAACTTGGAACCTCGAGAGATTCCATGGCGAAGAATTACAAGAAGCGTTTTTCAATCCATGTAATCGCTACGCTCTTTTTTCAATCCCGAGTATTCTGGGAAATATTGAATACGAGACACTCATACTCCCGCTCAAAAAGTCTTACTGTTACGACACTTTTTAACCTGTTCAATACCTGTCATGTATCATCGTGTATACCTATATCTCATAATGCGATATATATTATAATAATACAATAATACAATATATTAATATATTATATAATATATATATAATATATTAATATATATTATATTATATATTATTAATATATATTAATATATATATAATATATATATTAATATATGACATATTATAATAATACAATAATACAATAATACAATATGTATTATAATAATATATCGTATTATATCTTATAATAATATATATCGTATTATATATTATAATAATATATATCGTATCGTATATTATAATAATATATATCGTATCGTATATAGAGTATATGGTGCGATATATATAATAATAATATAATATATTAATATACGATATATGTTATAATGATACAATAATACAATATATTAATATACGATATATATTATAATAACACAGTAATACAATATATTAATACACGACATATAATAATACAATAATACAATATATTAATATACTGACAGAGTATGTATTGTACAAGTTTTGTTGTTGTATAATAATTTATATTGTACATTATATATCGTGTATATAATTTATACTTTGACACTGTGTAACTTGTATAGTAAACGTGTAATTTATAATTTACATTCATTGCGCTATTTTCGTTACAAAAAACATAGTACTTGCCCAAAGATTTCTGAGCGGGGGTGTACTTCGTAGAATAAAATCCTTAGATAGAATAGCAATGTTCTATTTAAAGAAAGAATATTCTTACAAAAAAAAAAAAAAAAACAGGGAGAAAAAGAGGGAAATTAGGAGAACATTAGAGAGAAGAGAGAGAGAGAAAAGGAGCGTTTTGATTAGGCTTAGAAAGGGTCGGGATCGGTTGCGAGACGAACGAGGATTCGTTCATTAAGGGACCTTTGACATCGTTCCATGTTCAAACTCTCTTTGTGCCTGACATTAACGAGTACTTGTCCGCCTGTTTAATCATCATCCGCCGCGTTTCTGTAATGATGTTTGTAGGAGGTTCTGCCTGGTAATCGTTAGCAGTAAAAAACGATCTCTCCCTTCCTGTGTGATATAACTTGTTCTAGTAAAAATTTGTTCGTTTCGTTTGAGAATACGAAGAAGCTAGGAAAAAGTTCCTCGAGTGAGAGGTTTCAACTTAGAAATTAAAAGTCACTTCTCTGGTTCAAACTACCGATCGAAATGACCAATTTGTAATTTCCCTTGGATATCTCGTGAATGTAGGACAGTGATTTCAGCGACGTTTCGCGAACTCTGTGAACAGATGCTCGTATTTGCAAAGCTCTTGCGTTCCTTCTGAATGGGGATTTCGCGCTCCGGAAAGTAAATGAACTTGACGTGGATGGTTCTAGTGAAAATTCGATGAAACCGAATGTCTGATAATCGAGAATGCCCGACGGAGTTAAGTTTCAAGTTTCAATTCAGCGATGTGGTGTAAAAATTTCTCTCTGGTTGGAGAGATGACAGGAGAACGGTGAGGCGAGAAACGAACCAACGAATTTCCAATGAAAATGGTAGTCTCGAAGCTACTCGTGGAGAATCAATTGTGGCGAAACGTGGCACACAGCACTGCTACCAGCTCGGGAAGAAAGGACTCGTGCACTCGTACATAGACCGAGTCACGCGACCAATTGAAAAGAGTTCCTTTTAACCCTTTGTAAGAGGAAGAAATTACGTGGCCTGTCAAATTCCTCGCAAATACCGCGCCGGATAGAAACTGGCAGCTCCTCTGTCCGTTGAAATTTAATTCGATCGAATTGCGAATCGGAATGGGGGATTCAGTGCCCTCCATCCATAATTCACACGTCCGAACAGTCCCTTACTTTCCAACAATTTCATTTCACACACACACACACACACACACACACACA